TTCCAAGCTTAGTAGGTTTAAGATTGTAGAAATATCAGTGAAGGGTCCTTAGACATTTAGTTGGATGTTGTCACCAAGAGATGTTAAGCATAGCTCTCTGCATCCAAGTGTAGGTTCCATCAAGCTTAGACAAGATTGTAGAAATATCAGTGAAGGGTCCTTAGAGCTGTGATTTAGTTGGATGTTGTCACCAAGAGATGTTAAGCATAGCTCTCTGCATCCAAGTGTAGGTTTCATCAAGCTTAGACATTAGGGTTTAAGATTGTAGAAATATCAGTGAAGGGTCCTTAGAGCTGTGATTTAGTTGGATGTTGTCACCAAGAGATGTTAAGCATAGCTCTCTGCATCCAAATGTAGGTTCCATCAAGCTTAGACACTAGGGTTTAAGATTGTAGAAATATCAGTGAAGGGTCCTTAGAGCTGTGATTTAGTTGGATGTTGTCACCAAGAGATGTTAAGCATAGTTCTCTGCATCCAAGTGTAGGTTCCATCAAGTTTAGACATTAGGGTTTAGATTGTAGAAATATCAGTGAAGGGTCCTTAGAGCTGTGATTTAGTTGGATGTTGTCACCAAGAGATGTTCATAGTTCTCTGCATCCAAATGTAGGTTCCATCAAGCTTAGACATTAGGGTTTAAGATTGTAGAAATATCAGTGAAGGGTCCTTAGAGCTGTGATTTAGTTGGATGTTGTCACCAAGAGATGTTAAGCATAGCTCTCTGCATCCAAGTGTAGGTTTCATCAAGCTTAGACACTAGGGTTTAAGATTGTAGAAATATCAGTGAAGGGTCCTTAGAGCTGTGATTTATGTTGTTGAGATGTTGTCACCAAGAGATGTTAAGCATAGGGCTCTCTGCATCCAAATGCATCCAAGTGTAGGTTTCATCAAGCTTAGACACTAGGGTTTAAGATTGTAGAAATATCAGTGAAGGGTCCTTCGAGCTGTGATTTAGTTGGATGTTGTCACCAAGAGAGCATAGCTCTCTGCATCCAAGTGTAGGTTCCATCAAGCTTAGACACTAGGGTTTAAGATTGTAGAAATATCAGTGAAGGGTCCTGTGATTTAGTTGGATGTTGTCACCAAGAGATGTTAAGCATAGCTCTCTGCATTTAGGTTTTGGACATTTTTAAGATTGTAGAAATATCAGTGAAGGGTCCTTCGAGCTGTGATTTAGTTGGATGTTGTCACCAAGAGATGTTAACATAGCTCTCTGCATCCAAGTGTAGGTTCCATCAAGCTTAGACACTAGGGTTTAAGATTGTAGAAATATCAGTGAAGGGTCCTTAGAGCTGTGATTTAGTTGGATGTTGTCACCAAGAGATGTTAAGCATAGCTCTCTGCATCCAAGTGTAGGTTTCATCAAGCTTAGACATTAGGGTTTAAGATTGTAGAAATATCAGTGAAGGGTCCTTAGAGCTGTGATTTAGTTGGATGTTGTCACCAAGAGATGTTAAGCATAGCTCTCTGCATCCAAATGTAGGTTCCATCAAGCTTAGACATTAGGGTTTAAGATTGTAGAAATATCAGTGAAGGGTCCTTCGAGCTGTGATTTAGTTGGATGTTGTCACCAAGAGATGTTAAGCATAGCTCTCTGCATCCAAGTGTAGGTTTCATCAAGCTTAGACATTAGGGTTTAAGATTGTAGAAATATCAGTGAAGGGTCCTTAGAGCTGTGATTTAGTTGGATGTTGTCACCAAGAGATGTTAAGATGTCTGCATCCAGCATAGGCTCTTAGACTAGGGCATAGAAATATCAGTGAAGGGTCCTTAGAGCTGTGATTTAGTTGGATGTTGTCCAAGAGATGTTCATAGCTCTCTGCATCCAAATGTAGGTTCCATCACTTAGACACTAGGGTTTAAGATTGTAGAAATATCAGTGAAGGGTCCTTAGAGCTGTGATTTAGTTGGATGTTGTCACCAAGAGATGTTAAGCATAGCTCTCTGCATCCAAGTGTAGGTTTCATCAAGCTTAGACATTAGGGTTTAAGATTGTAGAAATATCAGTGAAGGGTCCTTAGAGCTGTGATTTAGTTGGATGTTGTCACCAAGAGATGTTAAGCATAGCTCTCTGCATCCAAGTGTAGGTTCCATCAAGCTTAGACACCAAATGTCCAAGTGTAGGTTCTGTGATTTAGTTGGATGTTGTCATCAAGAGATGTTAAGCATAGCTCTCTGCTTAGTTTCATCAACTTAGACATTAGGGTTTAAGATTGTAGAAATATCAGTGAAGGGGAGCTGTGATTTAGTTGGATTGTCAAGAGATTGCTCTCTGCATCCAAAGAAGTTCCATCAATCTTAGACACTAGGTTTAAGATTGTAGAAATATCAGTGAAGGGTCCTTAGAGCTGTGATTTAGTTGGATGTTGTCACCAAGAGATGTTAAGCATAGCTCTCTGCATCCAAATGTAGGTTCCATCAAGCTTAGACACTAGGGTTTAAGATTGTAGAAATATCAGTGAAGGGTCCTTAGAGCTGTGATTTAGTTGGATGGTGTCACCAAAAGATGTTAAGCATAGCTCTCTGCATCCAAGTGTAGGTTCCATCAAGCTTAGACACTAGGGTTTAAGATTGTAGAAATATCAGTGAAGGGTCCTTAGAGCTGTGATTTAGTTGGATGTTGTCACCAAGAGATGTTTAGCATAGCTCTCTGCATCTTAGAGCAAGATGTAAGTTCCATCAAGCTTAGACACTAGGGTTTAAGATTGTAGAAATATCAGTGAAGGGTCCTTAGAGCTGTGATTTAGTTGGATTTTGTCACCAAGAGATGTTAAGCATAGCTCTGCATCCAAATGTAGGTTCCATCCAAATAGGGTTTAGGTTCAGTGAATAGAGCTTAGACATGTTAAGCAGGGTTTCAAGCTTAGATTAGGGTTTAAGATTGTAGAAATATCAGTGAAGGGTCCTTAGAGCTGTGATTTAGTTGGATGTTGTCACCAAGAGATGTTAAGCATAGCTCTCTGCATCCAAAGTGTAGGTTTCATCAAGTCCTTAGACAGCATAGCTCTCTGCAAAATGTAGGTTTTAGACATTAGGGTTTAAGATTGTAGAAATATCAGTGAAGGGTCCTTAGAGCTGTGATTTAGTTGGATGTTGTCACCAAGAGATGTTAAGCATAGTTTCCATCTTCTGCATCCAAATGTGAAGGGTCCTTCCATAGTTGGATGCTGTCACCAAGAGAGACACCAAGGGTTTAAGATTGTAGAAATATCAGTGAAGGGTCCTTAGAGCTGTGATTTAGTTGGATTTTGTCACCAAGAGATGTTAAGCATAGCTCTCTGCATCCAAATGTAGGTTCCATCAAGCTTAGACACTAGGGTTTAAGATTGTAGAAATATCAGTGAAGGGTCCTTAGAGCTGTGATTTAGTTGGATGTTGTCACCAAGAGATGTTAAGCATAGCTCTCTGCATCCAAGTGTAGGTTCCATCAAGCTTAGACACTAGGGTTTAAGATTGTAGAAATATCAGTGAAGGGTCCTTAGAGCTGTGATTTAGTTGGATGTTGTCACCAAGAGATGTTAAGCATAGCTCTCTGCATCCAAGTGTAGGTTATATCATGCTTAAACCTGAGGGTTTTATTTAATGTCCAGGCAGTGGCACCATTAGCACCACATCTACTGTGTCTCAAACGAATCTCTGCTTGAGGTTGTATGGAAGATCAGATTTCCAGATTACATCCATTTTATTCAAGGCGGACCATGTTTCTGCTATGCTAATTTTCACATTCTTTTCAGTAGAATATATTTCTATTCCTAGGTGTGTAAAAAAAGACATGTTTTATTGATTCACCTGAAACACTTTGTATTGAGCTTTGCTGGTTGAAATCTCTTGGGAAATATACCTGATATTTTAGATACTAAGATCAAGCAAATCATTGAACATCCTCTTGACATTTAAAGCTGGAAACTTTTCAGAGGCAGAACTTGAAACGTTTTGATAAAAAAAAACACCGAAAATAAAAAAAGCAGTGGGTCTTGAAACATTCCTCTGGAGGTCAGAAAAACTTGCAATTTCAACAATATTCTACTTCAACTCTGTAGCGCCACATATACTGAAATCAGAAAAAGATGGACAGAAGGCTGCATACTTCCTTTCCCAAAGAAAGGAGATCTCGGATCACACTCACTTCCATTGCAGCAAACATTTACAGCTCAACAGACTACAACCGGAAGTAGAAATGATGTTCCGATAAAATCAAAATGGCTTTTCAAAAAAATAGATCAACTATTGGACAAATTCTCTCTTATTGAGAGCGTTAGGTCAAAGAATGCATAGGCGGCCTTAATTTTTGTTGAGACGAGCCTTCTGGCATACTCGCCACCCCTACCGGCCCCGAGACAGTAACTGCCATAATGATGCTATACTAAAATATCAAATCTTTGGTTAGATCTCCAGACGGAGACACTAACATGTTCGACATCAAAGGAGAAGTCCTCTTGAGTGACACTTTTGCACCTTTTCTTTGGTATCACCCTTGGCTATGTATTGAGAACGTCCCTCGACAAACAAGGTTATCTAGGTTTTGCATTATCTCAAGTCGATATCCTGAAAAAAAAGTTTACAGATATTGACTATGCAAATGACCTAGATATCACTGCAAACACCATTACCAATGCCACATCATCTAGAAAATGCTGCCAATGTTGCATTCTATGCCAATGCCTCTAAAACAGAATTCGTAGCATGCAGAAAAGTATTAGGGTTCAAACTTCAATTTTCAACATAGCTTCTTTCCTTTCTAATCGTGATATAAGTGTCGGTCAAAAAGAAATGCCTGTGCTCCTTTAATTACAATTATTTATTTTTATACATAAAAAAGGAACCTTCATTATTTATCTTTTATTCACCGTCTTCGTTTAGGATTTGAACGATCATGGCTCTCCACAGATTCCCGCTCCTTAAAATGATGTGTGACACTTTACTATCTCTCGCTCTGCCATCCGTTTACACAAAACAAATGGTATGATACATGCTGTTTCTCTTTGTTCCTCGGGTTTATCTCATTGAGACACCGGTTCCCGTACGATTACCGAAGTTAAGCAATGTCGAATCTGGTCAATACCTAGATGGGTGACGGTATGGGAATACCAGGTGCTGTAAACTTTGATGTGCGGGTGGTGAAATGCATAATGGCTGGGAATTGTTAATCGGAGATCCTAGTTCCAATTCCATTTGGGCTCGTTATATTCACTTACGCGCCAACACCCTTGGGAAATGTACGAATTCACCTCTTCCCCATGGCTATGGGTTAATAAGTAAATCATTATTTTTTCTCCCGACCAAAAAAAAATCTTACAATGTAAAAATATTTTTTGACTTTAAATAATGTGCAAAATGTTGATAAGCCGATAAAACGAATCAATCATAAAAACTCTGTTCCTCTTCACTTGAATATGTTCTGTGTGTGTTAAATTTTCCTAGCCTTCTTTCTTTCATGTTTCAACTCATTAATATATTTAGAACGGGGATTAGTTTTTGACTTCTTTTCATGGGTCGTGTCCTTTCAGGACGTAGGCGATCATGTCTCTCCACCTTTCTCTATCCCTTACAGCTCTCAACAAGTTCCTTCCCTCTGCCATCTCCTCCAGACCACGTTCTGTCATCCACTTGCTTAAGCCCGCTAGGTATGTCATGCGTTGTTTTCCTTTGTCTCTCTTTCTCTCGATTCGACCCGTGAGTATCAGATTCTCTAGACCCTCCTTCCTCATTATGTGTCCCAGAGACTTCAGCTGTTTCTTCCTGATGTTAAGTATAAGCCTCCTCCTTGTTTGCATCCTCTCTAAGACTTCATCGTTGCTCACACGCTCGGTCCATGATATCCTTAGCATGCTTCTGTAGAACTACATCTCCGTCGCCTAGAGTCTCTTCTTCATCTTTGAGGAAATCGTCCAACATTCGTTGCCGTAAAGAAAGACAGATATCACGTAACAGCTCAGCATTCTTTTCTTTGTTACCAAAGTAATCCTCCCGTCTACACTGCTCAGCTTTTGGTATACGTCCTTGGCCATCCCAGTGCCTCTACGCATTTCAGTGTCGCATTTAACGACCATGTCAAAACACTACCCAGATATTTAAATCTCCGCGGCTGCTTAATTCTAATGTTCCCGACCTGCAAATCGCATTTCGGGCTCATCCTTTTACTGGAATTGAAGTATTTAAAATAATAATATTATTAAAAAAATTTAATGCAGTTTGAATAGTGATTTTCTAAGCGCTGCTTAGATGTGGCACAAGGCCGGAAGTATGGAGCACCCAGTAAGGATAAATGTAGTTTGAATATATGCGATAGTTTTGTTTTGAAAATCTATTGAATTCATGCCCTTTGAAAATTGTTTTATTTTCCTAGCATTTTCGCTTTTCAAGTAACGCATGTCGTAATGAAGCATTTGGTGTGCAACTCATAAACAATTTACAACAATTTTCTTCTTCATTGATTTTGTATGAACACGACCCTGCTGTAGAGTTGACTTAGCCCATCAAATGTCTGCCTCTACTAAGAAAACGAAAAGAAGAAATATGATACATTTGCTTTCCTTTCTTTCTTTCTTTCTTTCAGAATCATTCTATATCAGAGAGTAATATCGAGTCTTCTAATAAATTCAATGTTAAAACAATACGTCGTTGTTCTCTCTTCGTTAACTTGGAGTGACGACGCATGCGTAGAACAAGCGAATCCTGTGTTACAACAGACAGTAAATTCTCTGTGAGTCAAATCGGATGAGGCCATTTTTTTTTTCGTTATTTATTTTATGGCACCGTTATGCGCTGAGAGGCGTCAGACATGGAGACATTTTTTTCTTCTTTCTTCTTTAGAAGCTTGCTAGAAAAAAAAAAAAAAGAAGACAGACATAACGGGCAGGGAAAAAATAACAGTTGGCAAAGTACGCTGAAAAAAGAACGAAAAATTCTTAAACTGACATAAAAAAAAAAGAATATAAGAATATAACAGAATTATACTTGACCTAAAAAAAAAACGAAACAAAACAAAAAAACGAAGTATAGACAATAAATGTCAAAAGAAAAAGATGAATCTATGTACCGTGTCTTTTCAGGATATGGTCGGTTATAGCTCTCCACAGCTTCCTTTCCTTTGTAGCTTAATGTTACCATCTCTTCCACTCTTGCCATACATTCGAATGATCTTTTTCCTCTCACCATTGCTCAGTTGCGAAGACAGCGAGGCTAACATAAATCAGTTTTAAATAGGTCTCTTTTAGGCACTCCCATCTTATGTCTTTTGACATTCTGAGTGAAGGTTCATAAATTGCAACACAAATGAAGACTGATTCAGTCTAAACATTTACTAGGTTTTTCCTTACAGAGGTCAGAGCCGAATGAAAACAAATTGGGGTCATCAGAACCAAGTAAGTACAGAAATTTAACTGGAAGTATAAAAGACGGCAGAAAGTTTGACACAAAAATCCGAAGACACATTTGAATAGTGATAGACGCCTTCCGAAAAGAACTAAAGTATTTAAAAAATGTTCTTGAATTACTATGTAATATCAATCCTCCTACATGCCACTGAATGCAGGAAAATTTCTCCACACGATGAAGAAGGGACTTGAAGCGACGGAGATATGGTTCTATAGAAGGATACTGAGGATGATCTTGACAGCGCATGCAAACAGTGAGGAAGTTTTAGGTAAAAAGAGAAACAAAGAGAACACATATGCTTCGAATCAGTAACAGGTGAAACTCCTGGCGCCATACAGTGAGTAAAGAAGGGTTGAAGAATTTAACACTCAAAGGATATATTGCAGGCAATAGTAGAAGAAACATCGAGTAACCTAACGAGTTTGTGTAAGTGGTTGGCATAAAAGGGACTGAGAGAGTTAGTAAGTCGATAAACATTTCTAGGAGCTATAGGAAGTTTTGGAAACCCGTTATGGCCAACGTGCTGAAGCTATACATAAAAAAGATCTTAATCTTGGCTTTTACCTTATTGATTTATAGACTGATTCTTTTTTTAAGTTTTATCAACCCTTTGTAGGTTATTTAAAGACAAAAAATATCTTTAGATTGTAAGAATTTTTTTATGAAGATAATAATGGTTTAGTGATACAAGTCTTACTATTTAACCCATAGCCGGAAGAAATATATTCATACCATTCGCAATGTGGATATAACGAAGTCAAACGGAAATTGTATCTCGACTTTCTGTTTAACAATTGCGAGCCATTATCTATTATACGATCTGCACATCCAAACTTACGGCACCTGGTATTCCCAAGTGGTCACCCATCTAGCTACTGACCAGGCTCGACGTTGCTTAATTTCGGTGAGCTTCTTCACGATTTTTGACTATTAGCCCCGTTGTAAATTTAGGACCTATACAATACCCTACAAGTGTGTTGAGTTGTTTCTATTGCATTCGGCACGAAGACCAAGTTTCCCCAAACCATGATGCTTTTGTTATGTGTCTCTAATAAGGGTGATATTATGCCATCTCACATCTTTGAACAGGGTCCCAAGCTCAAATCGGATCGCTATGTGGAGCACAAAGGTTAAGCCGTTTATTCTGAGAGGCTGCCTGCTGAAAGACCGTGTGTGTGGTGGCAGCAAGATTCAGCTTCCTGCCACGCCTTCAGGGAGAGTCAGAAGTGGTTGTCAGATAATTTTTACGTCTGGCCCCACTAACTGGCTTGATTGTAATCCCATGGATTATTACATGTGGGGCATGGATGAGAAAGACCCAACCGCACTGGCTGGGACACGAAAGTCCAGTTGATCGACAGGATTCAGAAGGCGTTTGAGGCTCTCCCTAGCGAAACCGTGAAGGCCGCATGTGCCAGATTGAAGAGTTGGATTGGGGCCGTACTAGATGCTGAGGGTGGCTTCTTTGAACGAATTGTCTTTTCATTATTATAACCTTTTTTGATTATTAGGCCACTTTTCTATTTTCCAATAAATTGTTTTTTGACTTAGATATTCATTTTGTTTTCCTTGAAAAACAAATTGTCAATTTAGCCCGGACGCTATATATATATATATATATATATCGAAGTATAGGATTGGTATTATATTGAAAGGGGGAGTAAACCAAATATTTCTAGATGTTCTTTTCTTATTATGGTTGTATGGTTGAACCTTTTAAAACCCTTTATTATACATTCAACACCATCACTTGATAAGACACCAGAGGTGTTGAAACAAAATGGCTATTTTTGTAGTGATTTTATAACATATTTATGTTATAATTTTCGAATAAATAATTTTATATATATATATATATATATATATATATATATATATATATATAAAAGAGCGAGAGAGGAAGAAAGACGTGACAAGAGGAAAACTTTTTAAGTGGACGCATTTCGTTTTATAAGGAACTTCTTCTAAGACAAATTTAGAAAATTTATTATAAAATAAACTTGGATTCATATACACAGAAAAATATCACTGAAAAAAAAGCTGTAGGCGTTGAACTTTAAATTAGACAGCGTTCTAAAATATTCGAAAATTTCTCGACATTAAGGAAAGGAAAATCAAACTATGGAGGACGTTAAGTGATATAAATTTTGATTTGTTGCTAAAAACTAATGTTGTCGTTGTTGCTACTATTATTATTATTAAAGGAAATTAGTTAACCATTTTCCTTTCATTTTTAAATTTTTTATGATCGTACTTATGTTCGACCGTAAAAATATATTGGCTTGGTGCCATAAAAATACATAATATGTACGACCATAAACATTAAAAAAAAATAACCTAAAATGCTCAACTCTGTCCTGTTCTGCCTTCATATAATTCCCTTCATTTATCTCCCTTAGTGACCTCTCGTTTTTAAGGAACGCTTTTAGACCCAAGCACATCCGAACACTTCCGGCTCAGACCCGCTTCTAGCGAAAGAGCTATAACTGATCCAAGCACGCAATCCTCTAAATATCTCCCATATTCCGATAATCGTCGGTAAGAATTGCGACCCTTTTTCCTCTCCTTGTATATACTCATTGAATATATATATATATATATATATATATATATATATATATATATATATATATGCTGACTTTCTATAGTATTTGACCAAGCGTTCCTTATTATCACCTTTTATACGACATTCGAGCCTTAATTTCATTTCGCTCGTTTTCCCT